TTAACAGGGGAGATCCCTGATGACTGGAGGCTTGCCAATGTGATGCCCATCTACAAGAAGGGCCAGAAAGTGGATCCAGGGAACTACAGGCCTGTCAGCCTGACCTTGGTGCCAGGGAAGATTATGGATTGGTTCATCTTGAGTGCTCTCAACAGGCATGTGCAGGTCAACCACGGGATCAGGCCCAGCCAGCATGGGTTCATGAAAGGCAGGTCCTGCTTGACCAGCCTGATCTCCTTCTATGACCTGGTGACCCGCCTGGTGGATGAGGGAAAGGCTGCGGACATCATCTACCTGGACTTCAGGAAAGCCTTTGACACCATCTCCCACAGCATTCTCCTAGGAAAGCTGGTGGCTCATGGCCTAGGCAGGCGTGCTCTTCACTGGGTAAAAAACTGGCTGGGTGGCCGAGCCCCGAGAGTTGTGGTGGTGAATGGAGTTAAATCCAGTTGGAGACCGGTCACAAGTGGTGTTACCCAGGGCTCCGTTTTGGGGCCAGCCTTGTTTAATATCTTTATCGATGATCTGGAAGAGGGGATCAACAGTGCCCTCAGTAAGTTTGCAGATGACACCAAATTGGGTGGGAGTCTCAATCTGCTTGAGGGTAGGATGGTCCTGCATAGGTATCTGGACAGGCTGGATCAATGGGCCAAGGCCAATTGTATGAGGTTCAACATGGCCAAGTGCCTTAGGGTCCTGCACTTCAGTCACAACAACCCCACGCAACACTACAGGCTTGGGGTAGAGTGGCTGGAAAGCCGCCTGGCCAAAAAGGACCTGGGGATGTTGGTTGACAGGCAGCTGAACATGAGCCAACAGTGTGGCCAGGTGGCCAAGAAGGCCAACAGCATCCTGGCTTGTATCAGGAATAGTGTGGCCAGCAGGAGCAGGGAAGTGATCGTCCCCTGTACTCGGCACTGGTGAGGCTGCACCTGGAATACTATGTCCAGTTTTGGGCTCCTCAGTACAAGAAAGACACAGGTGTCCAGAGAAGGACAACGAAGCTGGTGAAGGGTCTGGAGCACAGGCCTGATGAGGAGTGGCTGAGGGAACTGGGGTTGTTTAGTCTGGAGAGAAGGACGCTGAGGTGAGACCTTATCTCTCTCTCTCCAACTACCTGAAAGGAGGTTGTAGTGAGGTGGGTGTTGGTCTCTTCTCCCAAGTAGTTAGCGATAGCACAAGAGGAAATGGCCTCAAGCTGCATCAGGGGAAGTTTAGATTGGATATTAGGAAAAATTTCTTCACAGAAAGGGTAGTCAATCATTGGAAGAGGCTGCTCATAGAGGTGGTGGAGTCACCATCCCTGGAAGTGTTCAAAAAAACGGTAGATGTGGCACTTTGGGACATGGTTTAGTGGGCATGGTGGTGTTGGGTTGATGGTTGGACTGATGATCTTGGAGATCCTTTCCAACCTTAATGATTCCTAGTTTTTACTTTCATTAAAAAATAACCCAGTCACCAAGCCAGGAAACATGAAATTATGACTCTACCCTAAATTGGTTTAGTGGTGGACTTGGTAGTGCTAGGTTAATGGTTGGACTTGATGATCTTAAAGGTCTTTTCCTACCTAAACGATTCTATGATTCTAATTTATGCTTGCCTTGTCTGTACTCTCCCTTAGGCATGTAGGCCCTGCTGGGAGCCAGAACAGGGATTTAAATAGACCCCTGGTCAAACTGCTACAGTCATTCTTCTGTTATTAAGAGAAAAATAAATATACAAGACTCTAGAACTAAATATGTATAGGTTTCCTGCACTGAATTTTGTCAGTATTTTGCTGTCTTCAGAAGGATAACTAGTGCTTTCCTCTGCATTGCAGAATGAGCTTGAGAAGTATCACTCAGGCTGGCAACATTCGAGAGCTTTTCTGCCTGGCCTGAAGAAAAGCCTGGCTCACACGTCACATAATTCTACAATCTGCCCAATAAGGGACAAATTCTGCTCCCTCACTTTTAAGAGCAGGTCTGAATAATGCAGTCATTTAGAAAAATGGGATAAACTGAGCTCATTTGGAACTTTGGAATAAATAGCACAGATTATACATGCTATAAATAAAAAACACCCTCAGCTCTTAACTAGTCAACTAGTTAATAAGTTTCATCTACTGTCAATTGATTTCCTAGCGGTCTATAAAGAATTATGAAATGCTGGTAGTCTATGCTTTTAACAGTCTTTTAGAGAGACTGCAAGCGCAAAGACATAATTCCCAGAGGAGACATCATATTCTGTTGTGAAGATACGTGGAAACAACTAATAAAACCAACAGCCATGCAGAATTTTTTACATTAAAGCTTCATGAAATTCACTGCTGGCAAATGTAACACGATGCACTTTAAGGGAATCATTGTAATGACTTTGATTGGATTCTGATTTAACTAGAATTACCAGAGAAAGACTGGTACACCATTGCAAACAGTGTGATAAACAATTTCTCAAGACAATGAAAGACAAAACCAAGATGTTCCAGTACCTAAGCATGAAACTAAAACCAATATTGATCCCTTCCAGCAAATCTGTGCCTATTTTACAAGCCCACAGTTCTGCTGTCACCTGGAATGTTAGTCTTCCTTATCCTGCTCGCTAAAATGCTAGAACAGAAAAAACAGAGATGGTGACGAATTAAAATAATGGAATGGAAATTCCAAAAAAAAAAAAAAGGAAAAAATTATTCCCATGTGATCACAGAACAAAGAAAGCTGCACTTCGCTGAGAGGAAAAAAATAAGACGGGACATGATAAAAAGATGCCAAATAACAAGTGTTATAAGGAAGCTATAATAAGTAGAGTTATAGAAGTGGGCATTTCCACTCAACCTCCCTCACAAAAAGGACAAAGGAGTATCAAAAAATACTGAAAAACAGCATCAAAAGGCTTTAAAAAACCTCTCTGCAAGTTAAGTTTTTGGAACACACAGTAATAAATCGTCACTCGAGCTAAGACAGGAATAGGATTTTTAAAATAAATACGAATTTTCTATGTTTTTCAGGCACACCTGCACCTAAGCTGAACAAAAGAAGTACCTATACAGATGAGAGAGCAATCTCATCTGCCATTCGCAGCACAGACTGCTCAGTAACTTGCATTCGAAACTTCTTAGGGCAGCTCACTCCTAATCTGTCCATTACTGGGTTTCTGCCACCTTGCTCTGAAATGCTTGGGAGCTCTCACTGTGGCAGGCATTAGTGGCCACACTAATCCGGTATTAGAACCAACATTTTGCTTTGAATAAGGCTGCTATTCAGCATTACCAGAGCCCTCCCAGTATCCATTACCTGGGTGGACAGTCCTTTTTGTAGCATTTCTTTTGTCGCCCATTTGGCTGTGTTGCTGGGTCGCAGAAGGAGTTTTTGATCGCTCCACTTCCCTTCCGCATGCAGTGGGCAATCTGGCGCTGCACCCCTGCAAGAGAAAGACACAAAAAGAATTAACAGTAAGCCATGTAGGCTGGGGATGAGCTGTAGAAATCCTCTAGCATGGGGAGTACGCACTGGTGGTACTCCACATCCCAGAATACAGTAACAGCTGTGAAAGTCAGTTCTGGTGAATGTCAGGGCTAAGTCAGGTATGAGCATCCTTTAGCCTTTAGAGTTGAAAAGGTGTTAAGCAGAGCTCTTTTGAATCAGATAGCTCAAGCAACACCTTAGAAAGCACTTTTCTTAATCTCAATTTCGTTGTCAACCTCAGAAAGGGCTCCTGCAGGCCCTGAAGCAGGTTTTAAGGGCTAAGAATGGTTCTTGGATTACTCACAGATAAGGGGCAACTCAGCAGCATCAGGCTACTCACAGCAAAGGTATTTTTGCTGATCTTTTCTTTGTACTTTTGGGAAGGCTGTTTAAGCAGAATATAAACCAAAGAGTATCAGCAAAACTATAACCTTCTGACTCTTAATGCTGAATTACACTTTTAAGAAGTTTTGGTACAAATCTTGACCAAAAATGATGATGCCCTAATAGAAGGGAGAAAATCTTCTGTTTTCTAAATAACTAATACACAGCACACATCACAAGAGGAAAAGCACAGTAACAATGAGAGACACAGAGACATCCTGTACATACAATTTGGGTTATTTCCTAACAGCTCCACTTACAAAAACTCCCACGCATTTAATAGAAAGAAACACTGCATTACCCTAGTGCGAATCTAAAGAAAGCCAGTTTCCAGGGCCCTGCCTTCCACACAGTTTTGCAATAATTTGAGGTAGGTCTTGTGCTGCAAACCCAGTGTAAAAAAAGTATTGCAATATTACAGTTCAAAAGGTTGTAGCTAGACTGATATACAGGCACTAAAATAGTGGCATTAGGCCCACACAAATCCCAACGACTAAAAAGACTGAAGAAACCTTGTTTATTAACTCTCATTAAATTAACTGTGCTATTAATTCACAGCAATTAATATGCAGATGGTAGGTCACCGTACCTCTGTGACTTTTATGCTTCTCCTGGGAAGCAAAGGGCCTAACAGCACTGTTACTATGGTGTCAAGGAGAAGTGTTAGGCTATTTCACAGAATATTTAGGAATCAAGCTTTTCCTTGCCTCACACCTCCTAGTAACTAGCGTGGGAAACTATCTGGAAGATAAGAACAGTAATCCACACATAATAGTACTTGGGAAATATGAAAATACTCCTCTATACAACATATACTTATGTTCCTCTATACAGCAATGTCCCCATATATGGCAATTAAAACATATTTCCTAAAATTTCTAGCATTATGGTTATCTTGCTTTAGGGTAATTTCACAGCATTCAAATTCTTTTTCCTTCCAAAATTTAACAATCTATGTATAAAAATAAGTAACAAAAAAACAGAATACAAACTCCAATACTAGGAAATCCAAAGCTGTGGTGGGTTGACCCTGGCTGGATGCCAAGTGCCCACCAAAGCTGCTCTATCACTCCACTTCTCAGCTGGACAGGGGAGAGAAATTATAACAAAAGGCTCCTGGGTTGAGATAAGGACGGGGAGATCACTCAGCAATTACTATCACAGGCAAAACAGACTTGACTTACGGAAAATCAGTTTAACTTATTACCAATCAAAACTGAGTAGGGTAATGAGAAATAAAATCCAATCTTAAAACACCTTCTACCAACCCATCCCTTCTTCCCAGGCTTGACTTCACTCCCCATTTTCTCTACCTCCTCCCCCAAGCAGCGCAGGAGGATGGGGAATGGGGGTTGCAGTCAGTCCATCACACCTTGTCTCTGCCGCTCCTTCCTCCTCAG